GAAGTCTACGGAAAAGATTACGGAAGTCAGTCCAGATAAAGGGGAACGACAGTCTCCTGAATATAGCTCATCGTTAAGCTGTGTGGATCGGAAATCCACGAAAAAGTTTATGGACGCCAGTCCAGATAAAGAGGAACGACAGTCTCCTGAATACAGCTCATCTATAAGTTGTTTGGATTGGAAATCCACGGAAAAGTTTTACAGACGCCAGTCTGGAGAAAGAGGAACATCAGTCTTTTGAATACAGCTCATCTTTAAGCGGTGTGAGTCGGAAATCTACGAAGATACGGACGTCAGTCCTGATAAAAGAGAACGTCAGTTTCCTGGATTCAACTCAAGCTGTGGGACAATCATTGTCCGAAGTTCATCAGATCATTGTGAATGTGTAGTGTAGTGAAAAAGTGATACGTGTGTGATCATTGTTGTGCTTGAGAAAATTTAGTGCGGTGAAGTGCTGTGAAAGTTGTAGTGCGTTGTGATAATAAGTGCCTGCATCATCAGCGTCCATAAAAATTTTAAGTTGTGAGAAATCTTAAGCTGTGACAGCATTCTTTTTTCCAAACATCAACCATTCGAGTCTACAATCCAGACGGGTAAGTACCTCGGATTTTTATATTGAGGCAGTGAAGTAATTTAATTTATTTTTGTAATTTACTAGTATATAAGTTCACATAACTGTTTTAAGTCTACTTTGTTTCTGTAAGCTTAAAGAAATGTGCTGTTTCGGTTTTATGTTAGAATAAGAAAGTATAAATTTTAGAATTTAAATCTGTGTTAATAGATTTTTTTAATATCTGAAAAGTTAATCTGTTGTGTTCGAATTAAGCTTATATAATTGAGAGAGTGTAAAGGAGAGAATTACTGTAACTTTGAAAAAATTTTCTACTGAATGAGTAAAAGGGGAATACTAGAAATCCGCAGTATTTTTCATTTTAACGGTTGTCGTATTAATGTTTAGTTCTGAGCATGCAGATATATGTTTTTTATAATTAACCTTTGAATGCATATTTTAATATACCTCAAATTTTGATGAAAGTATATTGTATTGTTGCGTGCGTACGGGTTCGTTACGAAATGAATGCACAAATCCGATGAAAAATGAACAAAAATTTATTATTATCACAACGAATATGATTAAATTTTCTCAAATTATCATGCAGTATTACAATATCTCACAGTAGTTATCTTTTAACTACTCAAATGTCCAATAGAACGTGATTCAAACAGCTAAAGAAACGCTAATCCGCGAATTCGCTACAATCAATCAACAAGAGCAGTTTTCAAAAAACAACAAACTAAGCAACTACCACGAACTGAGACGTTTTCCTCCTTTTATAAGATTTTAAAATCACGCGCTAGAATTTTCTAGTACTTTTTCGAAATCAAAAAAGATATTTATTTATTTAATGCACGCGATCTTGTATTTTCAATTTTCCGGCTTAGCTTTCTTTTAATATTCGTCACGCGCTGCACTGCGCGAGAAATAAAACCATTTAATTTACAACTGAACTAACATTAGCTTTTTAAATACCAAATTCGTAACAGTATTATCATAAGCAACTGAGTTTAATGCAACTGAATTTAAAGCCTTTAAGAGGAAATATTATCCGTGGTTTCATAAGTTCTCAAGTAGACATTTTTATTTGAACGCTTAATGTGCATATTATAGGGTAAACTATCTTCTTTTTGTTTAAGATCTGTAAAAAATGTGGTGAAAAAAAATTAAGGGTTAAATTTTACTCTCTCTTTGTGAAAATGATAGCTGTTCAAATAAATTTTATATATATGTAGTGTGAGGGAGCTAAAATTGTTAGGATGTTAGCATAATTTTGTTCATATCATGGCATTCTTAGCAAAAGTTAGGAAAGAGGATCTTAAATCCTTGGCTGAAGAGTTAGGGCAAAACGTTAGCCCTGAACTTAGGATAATTTAAGACAGCTGAGTATGGGAAATGAATCCTATGAGGAGGAACTATTAAAAGGCCTGTTAGAAAATATCACTTCAGAGAGGCAGGATAGAAGTAGGAGAGAAAAAGAAGAGAGGCAAGATAGAATTAGGAGAGAAAAATGGAATTTGAATTAAAGATTACTGGTCGCTAACAGAAATGACTCTGCAAATGGCGGGAATGACGAAAATGGACTTAAGAAAAGCCGTTACGATCTAAAAAAAAAAAAATTATTCCAAAATTCGATCCTGAAGAGAACAACTATCTAGTCATGTTTGAGCGCCAAGCGTGCGAATTTTCACCAATCAGAATGTGTTTCGGTTTTATTGACAATTTTGCCAACTAAAATAGTTCAGCTGATTATGCTCGAACCAGAGCAGCAGGCTTATGACTACGATTACGTAAAGAGGATATTGCTTAAAAGGTTTTAAGCTTAGCCCAGAAACATTTCGTATCAAATTTACGGAATCCCAGAAAAACACTCGAACCACTTGGAGAGATTTTGCCTTTGAGGAATTATTTTAAAGAATGGATCGCAAGTTTGGAAGTTACCGATTTTTAACTTTTAAAGGATCTCATGATAACGGACCAAATGAAGTGCCGTGTAAATGTCGAAGTGCGGCAGCATTTTATTGACGAATGGTCGAAGATAAAGACTACAGATAAATTAGCAGAAATGCTAGAAGAGTATGAAAATGTACGCGAAACCCGGAAGAAGATATCTCCTGTTCATAGTTCTGAGTCACAACGAGGAAATAAAAATCCACAAAAGTATCACCAATCTGGAGGGCAAGATAGATATGCCTCTGACAGAAAGGAACATCTCCAGAATCAGAATGAGCGTCAATTTGATATGAGAAGACCACTTAAGTGTTATTCTTGTGGTTCAAAGGAACAATTTAAAGCCTCAATGTTCGATCAAGTTAAAAAGGATCTCAAAACTCCGTTTATTGTAAATAGAGTCCAGGAGATTGAAGAAGATTGTTTAGCCCCGTATCTAGCGATGGCTAAAGTGAACGGTTTTGATCTTCCAGTTCTAGAGAGATACCGGGTCATGCAATGACGTAATATGCAAGAAATATTTCAACTCCTTCGATACTGAACGGGCGAGACTGTTTGGGGAAAACACCCGTTTGATGAGGCCCCAATTTGTTTACCCTTAGCAAACGTTACAATAGAAGGAACTTTTGGCCAAGTAACAACAAAAGCAGTGGTCATTCGAAATGAATTGGATCCCGGTCATTACCTGTTAGGAAACAGAACCGCCAAAAAATTAGCAGTAAATCAACACGATAAACTTTTCTTTCAAGTGAAAACAGGTACTCGAGCTCCGAGTCAATCAAAGAATGAAATCGGGAAAAGTTGTCCGCTGGAGTTTGAACGCTGCGAACTCGAACCCTAAAGCGAAGTTTCTCCACTCATTACAGAAAGGGGTCTTGTCTTAAACAAAAGGATGGAGAAAACCAATTTCTCTCTGCCTGAAACGAAGGTGAATGAACTGTCACTGTCTACAATAAATATTCTTTTGTAGCAAACCTAAAAAAAAAAAGGTGACGTTGTAAACCGTTCTTGTGACCGGGTCGCGTTAAACAATCACAGTAATTCTTTGGAAAAGGATTATCTTGAGGACAAACGTAGCAGTTCTTTTTCAGGTGTTGGGTTACCATTGAGAGATTACCACAAACTGGAAATTAAAAATCTGCAAGGTTTCCCATTTCAGCCTGGATAAAAAGATAATAAATGTTAAATTTGGAATGTATATTGTATATTACATATTTCAGAACTATACGTCCTTTTATTGCATATGTATAATTAAGTTTAGTTCTCAGTATTATATTGATTATGTTTTTTTACTGGCCTCAATATAGTTCTTGTTATGCTTATCCTTGGTACTTAGCCCAGCGTTGTGAAAAAAATATTAGTGCTAATAATTATTAGTTAGTTTTATTATTAAGACTTGCTGTGGAAGGTACGAGGAATTAGAGTTCTAACCCCCCCCACCCCCGGAGAGGGTAAGAGTTGTGACGTTCAGACATATGCACCCTCGGACTTCCAGGTGCTTAATGAGAGATATCTGTTTGTCAGAGACAGAATGGACAGCAGACCTTTAGAAGAAAGGTGCAGCGGAAACTCCCCTGGTGTGATTTCCGGACATAAGGGACTAATTATGTTTCTTTCCCAGGTTGTAAAAAAAACGAAGAGAGGGCTTTGTTTAAAAGCTTTTGATGCTGTAAACGAGTGAAAGCAGACGCGTTTTAGTGTCGGCGCCGCGTCAGCGGCCTTTGCGTGATTTATAGCTGAAATGATTTGATTATTTTAATTACTGTTCAAGAATTTCTTATTAAGTTTTTAAAATAAATATCTTAAAAGACAACCGGTCTTTTCTTTCACCCAACACGGGTGTTCTGTCTGACGCTACAATCGCATGGATGCTGCGACTGGAAACAGATGACACCCCCTGCTCCCTTCTGGCACTGGAAAACTACTATCACAATCAGCCAAGAACAATTAATAAAGTAATTTTGAGCTACAAAATCTCTATAAACACTGTTTTTTTTTTTTTTTTTTTTTTTTTTTTTTTTCCATTAGCAGTTTCACAGATGTGTCAAATTTTTTACAAGAAGAAAGAATTCTACACACTAATGAAAGTAGAAATTACAAATGTAACTCCCCAAGTCTAAAATTTCATGCATTACGTGATGGCATAGTGTGCGCACATATTAGTGGGTTGCCAGATCATGTTCGTTATATCCTGGATTATCATTATATGCAAATTTTATTTTGGCGACATAGCACTTTGCCTGGTGATTCTTCTCACCGCTGAGAGGATGACGTGAATGTACCAATAAATCTGCAGACTTTTGTCAATAATAAAAAATTACTTTTATGTATAATAGAATTTGTTTCACATATAAAACAAATTATCATCATTGTGTTACAAAAGTGTAATGATTTTAAAAATATATTAAAAAGTTTGCTTTTTTAAAATATATTCCCCAACTCTCACTTAAAAACCACACAAATAAACAGAATGAAACAATAAATTTGTTGTCACCTGTATATTACATAACTTAATTTCAGTATCTGAAAGTTGAACTCCATCTGAAAGTTTTCTACTTCGATAATAATTTTCTAATCCTTTGAAAGAGAAGGAATATAAAAAATGATGAGCTATTGTAATAAATAAAGCAAAAACAAAAACAAATATGTTGCACTTAAAACAAAATATACTACTTACTAGTTATGCAGTTGGCCAGATCATGAAGTCCTTTTTTTGTTCTGTTGTAAATACTATATAAACCTACAAGGAAAAACGTGCTGAAAAAATATTACATTTTTTAACAGTATGTTAAATAGAAATAAACTGCTCAGCCAAAACAGATTGTGCGTACTGTTTAATTTAAGATATAAATATCTGAATTTTCATGTACTTTCAACATTTTATGAACGGCTGTCTGTATTGTTGTATAAATGATTTTTACAATGAATACAATTAACTCAAGTCTCAATACATATTTAAATTTACCTTACTGGTTAAAAAATAGCATTTAGATTGATAAGCCAAAACATTACTACAATCCCCAAATTTTTAATTAACTTATCTGAATGATGTAGAAGGCATGTGATTAAGTAGGAATGGTATTTAACTGGTTCTGGAGAGAGTAAAAATCATTCCTGCACTTACTTTTGCGAGTGATGGGAAAGAGTGATGCGAGTGATGCCCAAGAGATCTACGCGAATTTAATAGAGGGTAGACTGTAATGGCTCAAAGATTTGGAACAAGTGTCTCTGGAACTACATGTCAGGTAGGATGTTCACGATCTGCTTTGATGTCATGGTTTTCGACGATAATTTTTACATGAGCATACCGCAAAAATTTTGAAATCAGATAATCATATTCTAATCTATCTTTGTTATTTTTGATTTTTGAACTTTGTTACGTAATGCATATCGTAGTGCCACTACTATTAACTAGGTGCGCCCTCTAGCGGGGTAAATATACGTATAGCATCTCGGTATCTTTGCTCAAGCTCCAGCAACTAACAAAGTGTAAAACTTTTGTCCAATGCAAACTGTGCATTGATAATAAACTACAGTCCACTATTTCATAATCAAACCTCCGTAATATTTGGTCCTAGAGACCCGGAGGGGAGGTCTTACCAGTGCATTAAGTTAAACATTTCAAATCGTAAGAACAATGGCGACTGATTCAGCCATTACAATGCTGAATCGCAAACGCGGGAATATAAAAGGACAGTTAAAGAAGATTACTATATGTGAAGATAATAAAAATATCTCCGAGCTACAAGCTCAGTTGGATGTGATTTCGAAACTTCAAGAAAAATTCGATGTTCTAAAGGAAGAATATTACAAAATCGTCAGTGAAAAAGGTTTTGAAGAAATTGAAAAAAACGCTGTCGCAGATAGATGAAGACTTGCAAAATTCAGAGGTAAGTCTAAAAACTTTGATTAATAAGCTTAAAATTAGTGAAAATAATTCTGCTTATCTAAATCAAAACACTGACAGTTCTACTTATTTGAATTCGAGCAATAACGATCAGTTGAAGCTAATGTCAATAAAACTTCCAAAAATCCCTGTTCCTATTTTCACTGGAAAATTTGAGGAGTGGAACTTGTTTAAAAGTCATTTGTTTGACTTTTAAACAAAACTTAGTCTAATTGACGAAAATTCAGAGCTTTCTGAAACGAAAAGCTGGGTCATTATCTACATGGATCACTAAAAAGAGAAGCAAACATTATAGAAACCTCAGATGAAGTTACAATTCCTTATTCAAGGCTCTAAAGCAAAGGTACGAAAACAAAAGAATTATTGTTGACTGTCACATTAAAAACATTCTCAATCTTCAAGCGATCAAACGTGAGTCAGCCAAAGAACTTCGAAACTTGCTAGATAATACAAATAAAAATCTTAGATCGCTGAAAATTTTAGATTTCGAAAGAAACAAATTTTCTAATGCCTTGTTATTAAATGTTATTCTCGAAAAAATAGACAGAGAAACAAGAAAACAGTTTGAATTCACGTTAAAGGACAATGAAGTCCCAGATTTTGATAACTTTTTACAATTTTTAGAAAGAAGATGTCAAGTTCTAAGTAGTGTTAACAACAACATCTAAGCACATACGGTCGAAAACCTTTATTGTCAATTCTAATGATTCATTTAAAATATGTGTAGCTTGTACATAATCCCAAACTAATCATTCATTATATCACTGTGATAAATTTAAAGAAATGAAATTAACAGACAGATTAGATTTGGTTAAAACTAAAAAATTCTGTAATAGTTGTTCAGGTAAGCGCCATTCTGTTTATGATTGTAAGTCTAAGAGAGTTTGTATTATTTGTAAAAAATCTAATCTTAGACTTTATAATTGACCGAGCTATTGCGAAAAGCAATGTTGCCGGTTCCAGAATTAAAGCCCAAGGGCACTTGATGTAAAGAAATCCGGACGTGGAGAAAATCTCAGATGAGAAAACGGAGAAAAGGGGAAGAAGAGAAGTACCAAAGGGAGCAAGACAATCCAATCGGACAAGTTCGCAAAACGTGACGAGCGATCATAGCTTTCAAGGAGGACCCAAGACAATGCAAATCAATGACAACAATATGAGAAGATACACTACAGCAATAGTTATTCAAATACCTCAATCAATAGTGCTAAATACAACACAATACAATACAACTATACAACACAATTTTAATACAACTATTCAACGCAATACACTACAGCAACTCAACAACAACCTAAGCAACCTATTTACAACACTACTATATCATCACAATGCGAAAAATCTCATAGCATTAGTTTTATTATTCACCAAGAATAATATTCAAGCTACAGAAGTACTTCAATCAAAATCAGATGCATTGGAAGTATAAACAACTACCGATTCAGGAGATAAGTGAAAAAATTGTCGTCTTCCCCCATGAAGGTGTGAGCTGCAAGTGGTCTGACGCTTCTATCTTCGAAGAGAATTTCATAATTAAAGACTTGGGAGTAATTAACAAAGTGACATTGCACAGCTTTGTTGAAGAATTTTTCATTAGATCTTCTGATGTAATCTGGAATCGTCTCAAGGTTTAAGTCTGTGTAAAATTTTATTGCGGATAAGATAGTGTGAATCAGTTCTAATGCGCAGAAATTTGTTTTGCACTACTTGTAATTGATGCAGTTGAGTTTGAGTGACCGTGTTCCAAGCAGGAGCAGCATAACAAAGTATCGGTCGAATGCAAGTGGTATATATATGTTTTTTGGTACGCAAGCTAAGATTTGAATATTTCCATTGACCGGGAGAAACCTGCATATTACGCCCATGGCTTTGCTCTTGACACTATTAATGTGGTTAGACCATGTGAGCCTTTGGTTCAAAATAATTTCTAAGAATTTGGCTTTTGTGACCAGAGGAACAGCTTCCTGAAAAAGGTAGGGATATTTAAAAACAATCTTTTTCTTAGTTTTGCTAAGAATTAAAAGTTGTGACTTGCTAGCATTGATTTTTACGCGCCAATTTGTGCAGCAGTCTTCTACGGCATAGAGGTAATTTTGCATTATGTCTATTGCATGATTAACTTGGATGGATTTAATTGCAATCGCCGTATCGTCGGCATAACATTCTAACAGAGAGTAATTGTCCAAATCAGGGTGAGGAAAATCTGATATGTAGAAAAGATATAGCACTGGACCGAGAATGCTTCCTTGAGGGGCGCTGAATCTTATAGGTCTTGAATTGGAATTTTCATTTCCTTGAGTGACGAAGAAAGAGCGGTTCTGCAAAAAGCAGAAGATCAGAAGAATGAGTTCTCTAGGAAGTCCCAAGTTGATAAGCTTGAAGACGAGCCCCTCATGCCAGACGCGGTCAAAGGCTTTTGCCCCGTCCAGCATAAGGAGCGCAACACTTTGCTTGTTATGGAATGCAGATCCCACAAATTCTACAATTCTTACTAGTTGTCGAGTAGTACTGAGGTTTTTTTCTGAATCCATACTGATCATTACGTAGCAGGTGAAGAAAAGTTTCCAATCTTGTGAGAATAAGTCTTTCATAAATTTTACCAAGGCTGGATAACAAACTGATTGGACGATAGCCATCAGGCTTGGTCATCACTCTTCACCCGGTTTGGGAAGAAGAAAGATCTTGGCTTGCTTCCAAGGATCAGGGAAATAGTTGAGAGTAAGACAAGCGTTGAGAATACTAGCGAATTTACTGATAAGATTTCTAGGTAAGTTACGAAGCATTTTATTAGTAATTTGATCACTTCCAGGAGCTTTATTGATGTTGAGATATCTAATGATATTAGTAATTTCCATAGGAGAAGTAAACCTTGGGATGTTATGAGACGAAAAAGAATGAAGCCAGGAATACACATAGTTTTCCAGAACATCTTTAAAGGTCTGATTCATGGGCTCCATATTAGGAGTAAACTGCTTTTCCAGATATTCAGCGAAAATATCAACTTTAAGTGAGTAGGTAATTTTAGTATCCGTATGATTAGGTCTATTGTTAATACTACGTCTTTTAATATTTTGAAGATACTTCCACAAAGAACCATCATTAATATTAAGTTTAGAAATAAAATCTTCTCTTGTTTCCTTTTTAAAATCAGTGATAAGCTTCTTGATTCTTCAGTTAAAAATATTGATTTCTCTTTTAAGCGCAGGGTCCCAGTCACGGTGCCAAAGCTTCAGCAATCGGTTTCTTTCTTTGATAATGTCTCTGATACTGCGAGGGAGTCGGATATTATTGTTAGTTAATTGAATGGTAACTGTAGCATCTCTGAAAGCTTTCAGTATACTGTCAGTGAAGATTTGAATGGCAAGATCGATATCCTGTTTGGTAGAAAGTGAAGTGAAAATAGGAGGATGGTTTGATTAAGATATTGTGAAAAGTAATCCAGTCAATATTATTTCTGGTAATAGGAGGGTCGACTTTAGAAACACCAAGAGAAGCAATGACAGGTACATGATCAGATGTAAGTTCTGACTTGACTTCCAAGGAAATAGGGATAGAAGTATTTGTAAGGATAATATCCAAGATGTCCGAGAGATCTGGAGAGGCAGGACGATAAGTGGCTTCAGAAGGTACATGTAATGCGACAGGATGATTGCAGATAAAATTATGCATAAATACGTCCACTGGTGTTAGAACGACGACATCTCCATTCGAGGTGCTTAGCGTTCATGTCTCCGGCAATAATAACTTGTTGATCTTCAGGAAGTAAGTTTTTTAACATATTTTCAGAAAGTCGATTTCGTGGTGGATTATAAATAGCCGTAAAATGGATGGTA